TTGAATTTCCAGAAAAGCAACAACGCTCTACTGTACAAAATCAGCCGCTATTCCGGAAAAGCTACGCTGCTCCCGCTTGGGCATAAGTCCTTATTCCGGAACACTGTTCCGGAAAAGGGCCAGTGTAGACAGCCCAGTAGTCTTTTCCAGAAAAAAGCCCCGATCGTGAAAATGACGATCGGGGCTCTTTTCCGGAAAAGCGCGTTTACATTGGCCACAGACGCTTTTCCGGAAAAAGGGTTTTTCCGGAAAAGCAGCCTGCCAATGTAGACGCTCTTTTTCCAGAAATACTTATAACGAAAACTATTCTGTTTTAAGCATTTCTGGAAATTCATGCCAGTGTAGACACAGCCAAAGATTATACAAAGTCCTGCTTCCCTGAACACAGGAGACATCAAACTGGAGACTATTTGCTCTCAGTTCCAAGCCTCTGTCTGCTAGTACTCCCAAAAAAACTCACTCCCCGTAGCTTTTCTCTCTCCTTTTCCAGACTGAGACCCTCTGTTTCTGATCTTTCTAGGCTTCTCTCTCTCATGCTCACCTCTGCTAAAATAATGCCTCTCAAGCACCTCTGCCCACATGCACCTTGTTTTGGGCAGTGACATATGCCTGTGGTTGGGATAGAGCCTCCTATTGTTTCATAGAGTTTTAAGGACTGAAGACACCATCAGTCCTCCTGTACCGCACAGGCCACCCAGTTTTGCTCTCTTAACCCTATACAGAGCCCAATGACTTTAGTTAGACTGCTAAAATAATGCCTCTCAAGCACCTCTGCCCACATGCACCTTGTTTTGGGCAGTGACATATGCCTGTGGTTGGGATAGAGCCTCCTATTGTTTCATAGAGTTTTAAGGACTGAAGACACCATCAGTCCTCCTGTACCGCACAGGCCACCCAGTTTTGCTCTCTTAACCCTATACAGAGCCCAATGACTTTAGTTAGACCAGTGGTCCCCAACTATTTGGGGTTGCCGGGCGCCAGGGGGCGTGGCCGTTCGCCCGGGGGGCGGGGCCCCCCATAGCTGCATTCCAGGGGCCGGCGCTCTCCCCTCAAGCGCCGCGCGCCCGGGGCCGGCGCTAGCGCTCTCTCCCCCCCATCCCCCAAGCGC